GAGTCGCCGAAAACGGCTTCTTGGCATTCAATATACGGCTTGTTGGCATTAAAAAATCAGAGAAGGAAAAAAACAAAAATAGCTCACGCACAAAATCACAGACAAAAAGAATAAAATGTTTGAAGAACTCTTTTGGCATCCTGAAAACATTGAACTAAAAATCTAATGCAAAAACTATGGAAACAAGATGAACACACTGATACAAAAACCAAAGATTAATATTATAAAAACATGCTAGAAATAAACTCTGCGAACACAAAAAAACGATGAGACGTAGGTAACAGATGCGTTGAGCAAGACTAAAAAAATAAAATCAGACATACGATCAGTAGGAAATGAATTTCACCTGAATAAAAAATTTGCGGATGGAATAACGAACAATACAAATTAATGAGCTGAAAAATTCGAAATCGGTAAAAGTAGATGGAATCAAAACTGAAACGCTCTAATACGCTGAAGACATATTACGGAACCCTTAGGTTTTAGACTTAATTTGTGCATGGATTGTGGTTACTGGCCTTTTGCATTCGACGAATCAATCATTATTTCAATATACAGAAAGGGAAATAGAACAAAAGTGGAGTATTATAGGCCCTTTTCTCTATTGACTCATTTATTGTAAACTTTTGAAAAGTTATCGTAGAATAGACTGATTTCAAGATTGTACCTCCCTTGGCAGTCCCCGCGAGATTAACCCGTCGAGTTGGGGCTTCGAACTCCTTCGTGGTCACTTTGGAGACCTGCAGAACATATCTCGTTCTTCCAACGAACAGCGAGGCTCTGGAACACATTGCCAAGAGAGGTGTTCCCCGAGGCATATAACCTCTCTAGTAATTTAAGGAGAACACCAATTCCTACCTTATTTTCCTTGGTTCTCACGATGTTTTCTGAACATTACAGGATAACCCTTTTCGTGAGAACCAGAACATAAAAAAGATGTAAACTTTCGTCAGAAAAGCAATTCGATATTGGATATACAAAACATATCATCAATTGAATTCATATTCTGCTTGCAGTTTCGATGTGCTGTCGCAGCTAAGTAAATTCATGTTCTGTAGGCATTCTACATGCCTGCTGATAATGCATTTTTTCTTCCGAGGTGCATATTAAATGTTTTCGTCAACCTCAAACACTTATATCCTCATCACGGTGGTCCTATTCACGGTCCTATTCACATGTGAAATCTATCAGGTTACGTAAATAAAATAATTCTACAACTAAAGACAATTGTTGTCAACTCACCCTCCGCGCGGACCAGGGTTGCCAGTTCGATTTTCATTCCAACAGTGGATACTTTGTCGAAAATTTAGTAGAGTTCATAGATCTGTTCCAGATCTATCTCATGCTATACGAATTCCAAGAAATGATAACGAAGTAAACCTATGATGTCAAAACATTATATAATTTTAGTGGAGAGAGAAATAACCTATTTACAACGAAATAAGAAACGAAATGAAAAATATTCTCATGCAGAAATGAACATATTCCTATTCCTGAATTCAAAAATATACTCACAAATATCACAAAATACAGTTACATACGAACAGTAAAAATAAGTAGAAAAATTAAACGTAAGAAACAAACTGATGAATAATCCTGTGTTAGGTTCTTTACTCACGCCAGTCGAATCGTACCTAAATAAAGCTTAAGTAGCAAGGCATGATATAGTTCTGATTTTTTGATATTTTGTTAGGACCAAGTTTGCAGCTTCAGAAAACCTGTGCTCGCATCATAATACGTTAAAAACATCAAAATTTTTGGACTTCATTCATATGAATATGGATATGAATTTGCAAAAATTCCAGATAAATGGCAACTTTGTGTGTTGAATAGATCTCGAAATGGAGTACTTCAAAAATTTACGAATTCTCCTAAAAAATATAAATTTCAAGTTTTGCTCTCGTTTCGGGCCGGATATCGACAGAACTACTCAAACTACGGAAAGAGACCAGGAAATGAAGTTGTAGTACATTCTAATGGCTTCAATTTGAGCAAAAGATGACGTTTCTAGATCTGATTAGTTTCAATTGGATTTTTCAGGAAATGCGCCTAAACAATTTTTACAGCAATTTTTGAGCATTTGAACTAAAAAAAATGCAGATGAATGTGGTGCAAACGATGACCTTTATTCCTACGTAGGGTGTGTGAGATTACAGATCTCTCAGAACTCGTGGCACGGACGTTCCGCCTCTCTATCCAACCTCATCACCCCGTTTCAAATTTGTTACTTCTCATTCGCATTCGGTTGTCCACCCTACGTGTTCGCCACCAAATTTTTTTTTCAATTCTATCAGAGCAATCTCAACTAGCTAATTTGTTCACAAATTGAGCCACTTTGGAAGTGAAGTGTCAATAGTATTTGACGGATTCCCTCTGAAGTACTAAAACCTCAGAACACTAGCGTCGCTACGCTGCCCTTTCTTGCAACGAAATTGTGTCAGACTCCTCACCGATCATCAGTATTTCTTAATCCCTTGGTGCGCACGAACGGGGATCCCTATAATGTTCGAAGAACTTCGTGCGTACCTAGGGAGGATAGGGAAAGGAGGTAAGTTCTTGGAAAAACTTCCCAAGGAATTCCAGAGCTTTGCCGTTCTATAGAGAAACGAGTGATGCTAGAGAGCTGTAAAAGGATGTGCTGACTGCGCTTGTCAAGTTCGTCTGACTGGTATTGCTAGTCGCGGAATGATAGCAGAGATTTCTGAAGAACATTTCCCGTGGAAATATCATCAACGATTTCAATGAGCGACGCCTTATTGATTAGTTGTGATCTGTGTTTGGACTCGAGGGCATTGCGAGATAATGACAGATGATGCAGACTATGGTTTAATTCCAATAATAACAATATACGAACCAGCTCCAAACATTCTTCTCAAACCACTCTCATGCAAGAAGAGGAGAGTGCAAGTAGGGATGCAAGAAACCTTGCACTGCCAGAGAGTTGGGCTTGAGTGTTTAGCCTTGTGCAATCTGTGCTCTAGCAAGACTTGCCATAACGTCGCTATATTTCTGATCGATCTCGACAATCCTCCACCTACAGAAAAGCAGCCTGAGATGAACACAATGCACCAGTGACTTCTTTCAGTCCCGGAATACGACCGTGATCAACCAGGACCCTAGAAAATACCTAAACATTGAGCATTACAAATTTTTTATTTGTGAGAGTTTATGTTAATATGAATAAAGAATCCTGCACTCTCAGGTTATTATTCACGCCTCACTTCCACATATTGTAATTAGAAGTATTTACGCTCATTCAATGAAAAATTCAATATTCCAATTTGTTTTCTGTTTACAATTTGAAGAAAACTATCAGATGTGGAAACTTCCTCTTGTGATCAAAGGAATGACGGAAAAATTCACTACAACTCCAATTCCCGGGTTCTTTTCGTGGTTATGACGATATTCGGCCCAAAATATATTTTATATTTTTCAGAAATTTTTTTCGAATTTTCGAAGTACTATATACAGGGTGGCATTGGAATAAGTGCAAATATTCCAAACACTGAGAATGCTCGACGTGTACTATCGAATGGCACTAATAAAAAAAATTTAGGGATCAAAATGAAATTTCAGGTTAGACCCCTTTTTCCACCCAAAGTTCTACACTGTAGCAAATCTGACGTCACATCTGTTCAAATGTCCATGCGGTAGGCACAATCACGCGGAGTTCAATCATTTAAATTGTTTTAAAGTGGCGTACTTGTTTTTTTTTTTCTCGCATTTTGTTCAATTTTTGAGATGAAAGTTCTTGGTAATTAGAAGAATCAGAAAAAATCTAATATCATGGGAATATTCCTTAGACCGCATCATATTAATGTGCTGAATATGTGCACTTATTTCGAAAACACCTTGTATCTAGGAAACTATTCAACGTACAAAGTCGCCGTTCAGCTGAAATTGTAGCAAATTCATTTCACTTCTAAAATGGTAATCATATTTATTAAGTTGTCATGGACCTCTTGAAACAGGATTTATTTGCTCTGCGAATTTTCAGGGAGCAGAAAAATCAAATCAGATGAATCAAGTTGAATGACAAATGGAAACAAAGAAAATGGCGTAAAATGCAACAATCATGTATAAATATGGCAAAAAAAAATTATTAACATTGCCGAGGTAATACACGCTAATTCGGACATCATTCTCGAACGGTTTTATCATTTTAATCACTTATTCTTTTCTCTCGATCACCATCAACGATCAAAATATCCAATCGAAACCAAATCAAAACAAATTTGGAAATTATTCAGATTAGGCTATGTCTAGAAATGTTTTGTGCCACTGCTTTGTGTTCGTTTGTGTTGAGCAGTAAATCAAGCTCTCTGTTTGTTTGAGTTGAGCAAGAGATTAATGCTCCTACTGGATCATAAAAATCAAATCACTGACGTCAGATTACGTGATCTTCATGATTTTTTGAGCATGTTGAGCTTTTCAAACGAACTAGTATACTATTACAAGAAACAAAACAACATCACGCTTTGCAATTTTAATGTCTTCTTTGACTGGCGTATATTTTTATCGTCTCATTTTTCTCTTTGTACTATTCATTCCGATACTTTCAATCTTTCCTGATATTGGCCCCATTAGTTTCAAGTGATGAAAGCATGAATCTACCCTCAAAGATACGCCATTTTCGGAGAATAAGTCACAAATGTGACATTGATGGATACGACTTGATATGATGTTTGAGTCGATAAATATAAAATATCGTCATCAAGAGAATCAGTGTTATGAAGAAAACAATGAGAGAGCAGAAAGCTATGAGATAAAGACAAGATCAAAAAGTGTATCAATTCACAATTAATCAATCAAATTCAGAAGATGATAATTGTTTACTTTAATGATTTAATTTTCTAACGCCTTCCGATTCACCAATGTCAGAATTATTATATCTAATCTTTCATGTTTGTCCATGTGTCTCAGTATCAAATAAAATGAACCAAATACTTCGAATCATTGGTATAATAATTTGAGACGTATTTCAATCTTTTTTTTTTCAGGTGTATGTCATGCTGATGATATAGCATACCTATTCAAAAATATGCTTACTCCTGAGGAATTGGAGCCAAATGGTCCAGAAGTCATTGGTATTCACAGGATGGTCAAAATGTGGACAAATTTCGCGAAGTATAGCAATCCTACTCCAAATAACAACGATCCTTTGATACCAGTTACTTGGCAACCAATCAATAAATCATGCTTCAATGTCCTGCGTATCGGCACAGATGATCTCCAATTGCTCAATAAACATCCAGATGTTGAGGGAATGGATTTCTGGGATGAAATGTATCAAAAATATGCCCTATCGTCCAAATTGTGAATCAGAACAGGAGAATCATAGCAAACTGCATCATCAAAATTATTGATACAGACGTGATATAAGTTACATTTGACCACCTGAGATGTATCAATTTGGTCAGTATTGTTCACTATCATAGAACTGTACCTTTTTTGTACTCAATATAATATCATTAATCGCATTGAAAGATAATGACAACATAATCATTGAATACAATATTATTTACTCACCTATATATTCACTATGTTTATATATATATATATATATATATATATATATATATATATAGTCACTACGAAGTATGAACAATTTTTATTGATTCGATTTTGTATCAAAAAGTTTCAATTCCCAGGTGTGTAGCCGTACACTCATTGAATTGCTTTTCCTGAGGGTGTCGTATTTTTGGCTGAGCCGAACAATAATAATAATTTTCTGAATTGTATCGGCCCTCACTTCACTTCACTTCACAAACGATGAGTTTTCCATATAATTCTCAATCACACGCCATGTTTTGCTAACACAGTAGCTCCATCAGATGAAATACTGGTACAATGAACTGAATCAACCTTGGCTTGCCTGACTTCTATATATCCAACTTTACTAACATGAAGGATCAGAATTAGGTACCTGTGGACAGGTTGAATAAACCTTCATTTTCGGAAACAAGGCACAATATCTACATTTAAATACGGTGTATGGATTAACTTCATAGGATTGAAAGCAAATACATATTATTATTTTACTGAGAAAACCAATTCAACAGTAAGCTTTGGTAGAAGTCCATGGTTTCTCAAAGTAAGTCAAATATTAAATACTAAATGATACACGAAGTCATCTCCACGACATTTACTATGATTAACACATCAAAAGTTGGTACATGTTTCGGACAAATATATGTCCATCATCAGCCCTACATCAGAAATTACATAATAGTCCTAAAATTATAGTAAGTTATTAGTACAATCTACAAGAGTAATGAGGATAAGAGTGCTTGAATGGGGATAAAAAGGTTATGTCAACAATTTTTACATTATAAAAAATAGTGAATGGTTTTGATTGTGGAGAATTAATCATGGGGAAACCCAACAAACCCCGAAAAATTATTTCATTTTATGGTGGGGACCAACAAATGGCATCCAGAAGGGCACATGGATGCGACATTAAAAACTAGCGAAAACGTGTCTTGCCTTGTACCAGCACACGACAAATGTCACATCATGACCTAGGCGCAACCTAGGAGCAACGGCATATGTCACACGTCACAAGTCAATAAGAAAGACAAGTGGCACAAGACAACATGGTAGTGACTGTCCACCGAGCGGAGACGAACCATAAGTGTACTGGAAAGAGGGGAGAAGAAGATATTTGTAGGTTATAATAATGAGGTTATCTTAATAAAAAACTCAAAATTCCAATGGAGAACTCGAAGACCAAGAAAGGAAACAAGATAACTGCTATTTCTGATTATTTTGTGAAAGGTAATGAACTGAAAAACTTTAGGCTATATCGTAATGAGTTTTTTCATTCAGTGAAACAACGATTTCGAATAGAGGTAGATGGGAATACCCATGTCAGAAGGGTTCTATAAATGGCATACGGACTCGAATAGCGGTGGATTTGAACGAACATGTCGTAGACGCGTATGCTTCGATTGCTAGTACGAATGTTGAAGAAATAACTTGTTCATTACCAAAACTGAACAGTTTGGAGTTGCAAAAATGATCGACATGACTCAACAAAACTGAATCGTCGTGTTACCTATAAGGACTGTACAATCAGATGAAAAGAACATGTCGCGGTTGAATGGTGTTAGCACTCATATTACAGAAGTGACTAGAGGTGATATCACCGCCCATACGCGGAATGTTCATTGCATCTGGCTGTACCTTGTTGTTGTGTGTCTTGCGAATAATTTACAAAAACTATTCAAAAATGCATTCCGTTTACAACAGGTGAAGAATTTATCAAGGTGTAATTCTTTCAGATTATTTTTGCGATATTCATGACAACCAATTTCAATTCCAGCTATTCATGTACATTTTAGCCAATCGAAATGTCACTTTATAGTGGGAGAAGTGTATCTATATACATTTTTGCCGGGAGAGGACTTTGAGATCACGGAATCACTTTAAGGCATCATTTTGCTTCAATAAAAAATGCGCCAGCGCCCACAGATGTGAAACAGCTACAGTCAGTATTAGGGATGATCAATTATTATGGAAAATTTATCCCAAGCTTACCTACCCTATTACACCCTTTATATGAACTTCTTCAAAAAAATGTTAGATGGACCTGGTCTCCAAACTGTGAAGAGGCATTTAAGAGGGTTAAAGAAATATTAATGTCCACCAATGTCTTAGTTCATTATAACCCAGATTACGAGCTAAAATTAACTACTGACGCGAGCCAATATGGGGTCGGTTGTGTTCTTTCCCATGTCCTTGATGGAAGAGATCACCCAATTGCATATGCTTCACGTACCCTTTCGCCGGCTGAAAAAAATTATCCGCAGGTTGAAAGAGAAGGGTTATCAATTATTTTCGCGTTATGTAAGTTCAATCAATTTTTGTATGGTAGGGAATTTACGCTTGTTAGTGATAACAAGCCACTACTTGCAATTTTTAGCCCTAAAAGGGGCATTCCCCAGTATTCTGCTAATCGTTAAGGGCGATGGGCTGTGATATTGTCGAATTATAGATACAAAATACAATATGTTGAATCTGAAAAAAACAATGCTGATTTCTTATCACGATTGCCAATCCAACACGATAACAACGAAGTTTGGGAATCAGTAGATATAGATTATATAAATTCTTTTCCAGATAGTGAATTAATATCGACAAATTTTGATTCTATGAAAGAATTCACAAAAAATAATGTGGTTTTAATGAATATAATTAAATATATAAAAAATGAGTGGCCAAAGTACGCAAAAAAAGATACTAAATATAAAAAATTTTATATTATTCGAAATGAACTGACAATCCAGAATGAAGTTGTGCTTTGGAATAACAGAATTGTTATACCAGAAAATTTGAGAAATCGATTACTGAATCAATTACATTTGTCTCATCTCGGGATAGTCCAAATGAAATCCATTGCGAGAGCAAATTTTTTCTGGCCCGGAATCAATAAGGACATCGAACTTCTATGTAACAGTTGTGTAAATTGTTCGGTGAATAAAAATAGTCCTCCAAAAACAACACTCAATCCTTGGGATTGGCCAGAAGAAGTATTCTTTCGGGTTCATATTGATTACATGGGATCCTTTTTAAATAAATATTTTCTAATAATAATATTAGATGCCCATTCAAAATGGGTGGAAGTTTTTCCAACTTCTAATATTACTTCACGTTTTACAATAACATCCTTGCATAGTACCTTTGCGAGATATGGTTTAGGCAAACTTATAGTTTCGGACAACGCGAGAACCTTCACAAGTTCAGAATTCCAACTATTTTTACAAAAATATAATATCAAATATATAACATCCGCGCCATTCTTTCCGCAATCAAATGGGGCAGCCGAAAATGCCGTTAAGAATATTGAAAACGCACTGAAAAATGCATTGGGGCGCAATAGAAAAATTGATATCACCAATGCCTTGAATCATTTTCTATTCGATTATCGAAATAGTAGTCATGGTACCACAGGAGTTTCGCCTTCAATGTTAATGTTCGGCCGCGATTTGAAAACCAGATTCAGTAGTTCAAAGCCAGATTTCAAACAAGACATTCAGAATAGAATTTTAGATAAACAAAAAAAATCAAATAGAATATTTTGGGGGAAAGATAGATAGATAGGAAATTTGTTAACGGCGAGAAGGTGATTGTCAAAGTTTACCGGGAAATCAATAAATATACTTGGATATCAGCGATTATTGAAAGGGTTCCCGAACTTGGTAGAACGTAGTAACGTCACACTAATCAGATCAGGAAAACTAAAATACAAAGTGGTTTACGAGACCATGAAGTTTCTACCAAAAACAAAGAACAACCATCAGAAAACATACATTTGCCAGTAAACCAAGATATTACTAATGATATACCGGGAGAGAGTAGATTAAAGAGGAATAGACAACCTCCAGACCGTTTAGGTTATGAGTAATTTTAAATGTAAAAACTTCACAAACGATAAGATTTCCACAAAATTTATTAAACACACGACATGTTTCGCTGACACAGTAGCTTCGTCAGGTGATATACTGGTACAATGAACTGTTCATTGTACCAGTATATCACCTGACGAAGCTACTGTGTTAGCGAAACATGTCGTGTGTTCAATAAATTTTGTGGAAATCTTATCGTTTGTGAAGTTTTTACATTTATCATGGATTTCCATCAAGTAACGGCCGAGTCAATTCAAAATATGAGTAATTTTCTTTTTGTTGTTCTGGTTTTCAGAAAAGTACCTACTTGTATTTCCCGAGGGTGTGTAGAATTCTTTTTATTAATTTTTATATTATATTTGGATTGGTAGCGGAGGATGTGATATATTGATATCTTAATATCAAATCCGAAATTCAATCAATTAGTATATTATTTTGTTATTCATTTATTTCAGAAATAGACAAGTAGGCACCAGTGTTTTGTATTCCTTTTCAATGGTTTTTATGTTGTCACTTTTTTTGCTCATATTGTAGCTGGACCACCGAATGTTTTTGTAAGGACAGTCGAATAATTGTGAATGCAAATAAACCAGTCAATTGTTTTGCAGTCTTCTAATTTCACCCACATGTTCCCGAGTACGCAACACAAAGGTTTTAGTGAAAGGAGAAGTAAAAAAAATTGCCGACTTCATTTTATGTTCAACTAATATTTCTGTGCTGGATTAATCATGCCAAGAGGTATTCCAGTTGCGAAAGAATTGAAGCAGAGAGTAGTAAATGCGCACTCGGAAGGTGCAATACAAGCCACAATTTCAAGACGGTTTGTTTTACCCAGATACAGCGTATCCAAAATAATTTCAAGTTACCATGAAAAGGGACATTTTGAGATTCTACCTAAATCGGGAAGACCAAGAAAAACAACAATTTGGACAGACAGACGTATTAAAATAATTTCTCAGAACGATCCTTGGTTGTCTGTACCTAGAATTATTGCTGAAATTCCCGAAATTATGGTTAGTCCACGAACAGTGCAAAGAAGGTTGGTAGACGCAAAGCTATTCAGTAGACGCCCTGC